ATGACTAAAAGAATAATGCAGAATTATATGTGCTAAATAGTGCATTTAGGCTAGGCTCTACTAATGAGGTTTCTTCGCAAAATTTGTTAGTGTCATATTGATTTCAAGAGATTAAATGTCTTCTTTTCTTGTACAACAATACCTATTTAGTTGGGTCTATTTGGCATTTATTGCATTGTATTTTCCATTTTCTAACTACATCTAAAGAGAATAAATCCTTTCCCTTTGTTCTCTCATGCACAAAGCTTTAAAAAATAGAAAGAAAAGAGTACCATCAGAAAATGAAATAGAGTTCACCTTCAAAGTATTGCATGTGACTGAAAATAAAATAATTCCATTTCATGGAGTGATGTATTTTCAATGCTTTTTCTATCTGCAGATTTACTGTCATGTCAGAAAAGTAACTTGAAATCTACAGCAGGGAAAGAGAAGGAAGATATCTCTACTTCCTTCTGGAACATATTATTACCAAATTCTTTGAGTCCCTAGATTATTGGTTCATTGGATGTGGCAGGAAGATTTTCTTTCACCTTTGACCTTTTGAGTTTCAAAAAGTCTGAATCAGCAAAGCAAACCTCTCCAAACACAAATGCAAATAATATCATTTTAGAAGAGCCCACTGGCCTTGAAACCCAACTAGCTCAACAGAGCCTGAGTATTACTAAAATACAGGTACATGGATTTGAATCACCAAGTATAGTATATATTGCACCACTTTGGAAATGTTTGGGCTAGGCACAAAAGTAACGAGCAATACTCTTTAATTTTTACTTTCAAGGAAAGTTACCAGTGAGATAACTAAGTTTATGAGAGGAACTAAGAAGACTGTGTTATCCATTCTGCTTGATACCTTTCGAGCTGCAATTAGATATCTGGCAGTCGTTCTGATACCAGACATTACCACACATGCCCCAAATCTTGTCTGAACTTATACTAAAATTAGTACATTTGGCAAGATCTGAGGAATTCAGGTGTGAAAACGTGCACTTTGAAAATCATCTGTGTAATTTTGAAAGGTCTGCTCAATCTGTAAATCTGTCTAAAAGTGTGATTTGTGCTGAATGGCACATTCACAGTTCAAGGCAAAACCCAGAGAATTTCCTGGAAACTGAATGCATATGATTGCATTTCCTACTCCTAGTGCCTCCCATACTAAAATAATTTTTAGGTAGGTTAAAAAGAAGTTTCTGGGGTATGCTGACACTTCCTAGGTGCTGAGGTTGGTGAAAGAGAGACCTGATTACCTTTGTAGATATGACAAGCATGTGAAATTTACATAGCCAACTCTATTTTGCTCATTGCTAGTTCTCTTTTGTTCCTTTGATTGCAGCTACAAACCCAGCAATCCATTATTCCACAGCATTCACCACTGCAAAATGCATTCACCGTCCTCTGGCAGAAAATTTTCCTAAGAGCAGGGCTGGTGACACAGCAAAGGTGCTGGTGTTTTGAGAGTGGATCTAAACTTCACAGTGCTTTGCAGTCCAGATGCACCCTGCAAAGCTCTGGTCACAAGGACATCATAGTTAGCTGGTCTAACATAGTATTTTAGATCTGATGATTCTCAGCCTGAGAAGAGAGCATCCCTAGAATCTAGTTGTGATGCTGCAAAAGGGGTTACATTTTGTCCAAAAACTACCTTGAGGACTCAAGTAAGGCTTAAATGATATAAAGGTGTTGAATAAGATATCTGTGTTGGTCTAGAGGAGTTGACTGAAATTTTGAAAGCAACGTGAAAGTCTTTAAAATACCTAAATAATTTTAAGATACTGATGTATGAATGGAACCCATTCTTCTCCACATCTTGAAGGTAATGAGACCTTTTCATTTAAAAAAGAAGAAAAAAAGAAGTTATTTTCTAAATTATCAGTGAATGTGAGTTGTCCTTCACAGAGTTGCAAAATACAGCTTACACTTTGTAATTATATATCAGCATGCTATACTCTTCAGTGGTAGATCTAACATGATGCATGAATTCAGAAAATCAGAAAATCAGCATTAGGAACAAATAACATGAAAGTAATATTCTAAGACACCCTCTAAAAATATTAGCAGAAATAGGAAAAAAAGTGTGTGTATAAAAAATAGTTGAAAATTTTATTTATACACAGAAATATATACACATGCATGCCATAGCTGTTTTCTGTTTAAAGATTGTGTCTGTTATTATGTGTGTTTCCTGAAAATTTTGTAGTAAAATAATTCAGTCAGATATTATTCTTGGCACACTTGTTCTTAACCTGTTCTTGACACATCTGTCTTAATTTTAACATAAAAAATATAAAATACCTGCATTTTTACCAGTCTTTAAAATTAGAGTTTGCTGTGAGTTGTTGTGGTCCATGATCTGGGGAATATAATAATATAGAGAAGGACTCTGCTATGTCAGCAACTGCTGAGTTATAGCAGTTATTCAATAAATTTCTTTAATCCCCAGGCTTCCTACAGAGTGCTTGTGGCTGGAACAATTGCAGCTATTTAGTATTTGGCTGCTCTTCCCAGCGTTCATAAATACAGTGGTGTGCCCACATAAGGCACAACCAGTGAGTGCTGCACCTACAGAACTGGGAGAAAGACTGAGATGCAGATTTTCCTGTATGCCTTGGTGCCTTAAGCAGGACAATTCTCACTATTAGCATGCATGTATGTGTTAACATGGTGTGAGAGATATCATGTGCACTTATTTTCTACTAATGGAGAATTTCCTTTGCTGGATCTTTCACTTGCCTTTGGCTAGTGAGTGTGTGGCACAGAAAGAAGGTGAACAGCAGGAGTCAGAGAATGTCTGTGGGGGTATTGTGCTCTCTCAAGGGGAGATCCTTGTACTGAGTTCTGTGCCCATCATATGTCCTGCATATCTGTACAGCAGTGTGGTGGTTTTCTACTGCTCTCAGATGCTTAAGCCAGGAAAAGCTTCTTGGTATGTTAAAGTTTGCACAGACACCTATTTTGGCCAGTGGAATCAAGAAGGTTGAGTGAAGCCCAGGTAATGTGCTGTGCATATGTGGTATGTATCACTGCTGTGAGCTAGCCTTTTAGGTTTCTCATGTACTTAAGGTATTGGACTTAGCAAATCTAGCCTGGAGTGAGAGGATCCTGGAGTGAGAGTGAGAGAGTGGTCAGTTTAGGATCTGTTCTTCTGCAGTGCAGCTGTGGTTGTAGGCTGTCATAGAAATGAACAGATGAATTGGGAGAGGAAAATAGGAATATGCAGGACAAAACTGAATATGGAGTATTTTTCCACCAGTGGAGGAATCACTAGCAGAGATCGTGATTGATATGTGGGATTCAGATTAAGTTAATATAACTAGGGTATAATTTTGAAAAAAAAAAACCCAGAAAAGTGATTGCTCTTGGCAACAATGTACTGGCTTTAAAGTGTGCTGAATAATATACTGAACAATGTACTATACATTGTTGTGTGCTGAACCCTTAACAGAAATATTGATTTTTGGAAGCCTGTTTTTAAAAGAAATCATTGCTAAATCATGCTTGACAGATCTGATTGACTCCTATGACAAAAAATGACCAAGATGGATGAGAGAGGAGCAGTAGATATTGTCTACCTCAATGTCACCAGGGCTTCTGACACTCTCTCTCACAATATCCTCATAGGCAAACTCAGGAGGTGTGGACTGGATGAGTGGACAGTGAGGTGGGTGGAGTCCTGGATGAACGGCAGATCCCAGAGGGTTCTAATTGGTGGCACAGGGTCTAGTGTGAGGCCTGTCACCAGTAGTGTCCTCCAAGCTTCAATACTGAGCCCAGTATTGTTTAACTTGTTCATCAATGACCTGGATGAAGGGGCAGATGTGTCCTCAGCAAGTTCACTGATGACACAAAGCTGGGAGGAGAGGCCAATACCCCAGAGTGCTGTGCAGCCCTTTGGAAGGGCCTCAACAAGCTGGGCAGAGAGGAACCTTCTGGAATTCCACAAAAGGAAATGCAGGGTTCTGCACCACTACAAGCTGGGGGCTGACCTCCTGTGGAGAAGAACCTGGGGGTCCGGGTGGCCATCAAGCCATCCATGAGCCAGCAGCCTGTCCTTGTGGCCAAGAAGGCCATGGAATCCCGGGGTGCATTAGGAAGGGCATTGCCAGCAGGCCAGGGGAGGTGATCCTGCCCCTCTGCCCAGCCCTGGTGAGGCACATCTGGACTGCTGTGTCCAGTCCTGGGCCCCTCAGGACAAGAGAGACATGGAGCTCCTGGAGTGGCTCCAGTGGAGGGTAACAAAGGGGATTGAGGCACTGGAGCATCTCTTAGGAGGAAAGGCAGAGGGAGCTGGGCCTGTTCAGCCCCGAGAAGAGGCACTGAGAGGGGAGCTCATCCATGGCTGTGAGTGTCTGAAGGGAGGTGCCAGGAGGATGCAGCCAGGCTCTGCTCACTGGTGCTGAGCAGTAGGACAGGAGGCAATGGGCAGAAAGTGATGCACAGGAAGCTCCACCCGAACATGAGGAAAATCTTCTTTACTGTGTGGGTGACTGAGCACTGGAACAGATTGCCCAGAGAGGCTGTGGAGTCTCCCTCATCAGAGATATTTGAGAACCATCTGGACATAATCCTGTACAATGGGCTCTGGGATGACCTTGCTTGAGCAAGGAGGTTGGACCAGATGACCTCATATAGCTCTGACCAACCTTATCTATCCATTGTGTGAATCTGGGATTAAAATAGAGGTATAAATAATGAGACTGAAGGGTTAGATATTATAACTGGCATAGAGGAAAGAGTCAAGATGAACAAGTATCTTCAGGTTAGAGAGTGGAAACTTAAGAGATGTCTATGAATTCATAGAGATTTCAGAGTTTTTGCCTATTATTTTCATTCATTATTGAGAACAGAGGAGGAATTATGTGATTTAAACTAAACCATGGGCAATTTAATTAGATACCAAGGCAAGCTCTAATAGGACAGCCGATGAAATCCCTCTTGCATTTCAGTCCTTGCAAATACGTCAGGCTAGAGATAACACCCAGCTGTCCTTGCCTGTAAAGTTCTTGTCCTTGTTGATAGAAGTTTCTGGTTATGGATGCTTTGGTGTACTCACTAGGCAGACTCACCTGCTCCTTCTTGTCATGCTTCTTTTCCTGGTGGTCATCAGCCTTTCCTCCTACCCAGATATCTTCATCTACTTTTATTCCCCATCCAGAAGAGTAATGGCAGGATTATAATGACTCCCCAAATGCAGAGACTGCAATTTTGAGTGCCTCTTACATGGGCTTCATAAGGAATAAAGGTAACAGTCTTCATAAGTAAACCCTAAAAACATTATTTCTTTCCTGAACATTTCAGGAAAGACACAAGCTATAAATCTGACTTGATATTGTTGTGGATAATGATATTTCAGTTGATGACATGCATATATTTAGGTGGTGTAAATCAGCATTGTTTCATCTGGCTGAGACTGATCACTGATCTTTTCTCCCTACAGACACTGCATCTTTTGTACTTTCAACAAAAATTGTCAGTGAGCAACAATCTACTGATAAACCTGTGAACAGAAATCATGCTGAATAAGAATGAGAAATGGAGAAATAAGATATCTGTCCTTTGGTGATTCAAGTTTATTTTTTTGCTGTTATATATTCTCCATAGTTCTCCCTTCTTTTTTTTTTTTTTTTTTTTTTTTCTTTTTTTCCTTTCTTTAATTAGCTGAAACAAATATGTCTCTTTTCCCTGGGAGCTTTTAGAAGCCAAGAGACCTTCACTGTTAGGGGGTTACAGTGCTTGGGCAAAAATGTGTTTGTAATGCTGTAAAAGGGTTACTCATGTGTCTGTGTGCAGGGCTGGTCTTGCAGCTTTTGCTCTGTTTTGTTTTCTTTTCAATAATTGATAAAGACTTCTCACACCTTCAGGTCCTGTAGATAGCAATTACTCATTCTGTTTTGCTGTCTTTATCTTTTTGTTTTTTGCAAGCTTTAACTCATTTTATGTAGTCTTCGTTGGTTCCTTCTCTTTATCTCTCTTTCCCCTAGATCTTTCAGCTGTTCTTAAAAAGTCATGTATTTCACTACTAATTGATTGCATTTTTCTGACAGTGAGGCTATAGTCTGTTATGTGTTAATTAGTGCTGCAATCACACCCAGATATTCTAAGGGTCTCTTCTTGTCATAGCCACATCAACTATTTATGTAATTATTTTAATCAAATTTTTAATTTGAAATCCAGTAGCTGTGTGATGCTCTCTGGGACCATTCCATGAAGCTAAAAATTCAGTTGACTGCATTAGCCATGCTAATGTCTTGGGCTGGGCATGAAACCTACCATATTTGGTGCTCTGTGGAGAGGTTTAACTCCCTTTGTGAACCTGCAAGAGCTCACACTCTCATTTATTTTTTAAAAATCAAATCAGTTTTTCATCCTTCTTGGTCTAGATGAAAGTCAAAGATGTAGTGCCTGTGGAGTCCAATCCCAGAAGTTAGAAAACAACTGAAAGCATAATTTTTAAATGTCACAATTCTGAAGTAATTCTTGTGGGCTTTTTGGTCTGTCTAATGATTCTTGGACGTTGGTAACCGCCTCTTATCAGAAGCCTTGATGCTTCACATCCTCAACCTGAGATGCAAATAGTTCTGTTAGTGCAGGATTTTAGGAGATAGGGAAGAGTTAAATATTGTTTTTTGTTTTTGTTTTTGTTTTTTTTTTATCTGATGGTCCACAACATTAAGTGAAATTATGAATCCTTGTATAACCATTTTAGGCTTTAGACTGATCTTCCTCTGAGCCCATGCTTCCCTACTTCTGAATACCCCAGGTAAAGAGCATATTGATGAAAAAGTTAAAGAATTGAGCATCCTATAAAATCTATCCATCTTATGATATAAATGACTGATGGTGCCTTTAAACTTGTGTCAGAGCATACCACAGTAAGGCAATCTTATTCTCTGTCTGTCGCCAAGTTTAGGCACTTACATGATCAATAGAGTTCACTGAGTGGGAAATTTTCATTAATATCATGAGTACTAAGAATAAGGCAAGGAAAATTCAAGACTTCATTGCATTGTTAAATAAGAAAAAGCATCTTGCCGTATTAGAATATCCCCAGAGTCTTTTTGAGTACTAGAACTAAATCTTTTGTGCTTAGGGCTGGTTTGACCTCAGTAAGAAAAACCACTTTTTCTACCTCACTCTAGAAAGATCTTTTTTCTCTTCATCACTTCTCATTCAGGATATAAACCCAAAGAACTGCTTGCACACATTAAAAAGAAAATGCAGAAAAAGTATAGTCAGTTCTAAATTCAGGTAATTGACTGTGATCTATTATTCTGTACTATTATAAAGAAATCTCATAGAGGTTAAAAAAACAAGTGAAATTTGTTTTAAGAAAACCTTTTAAATTTCACTTTTTTATTACAGGACAATAAATCTGGGTATTAAAGGGATGACGCTTTGTTGCATTGAGGAGTTGGCAATAGATTTCTCTCTTTGATTTCATCTTAATGGTAAGAATTTCTGGATGGGTTAATTAGCTAACCCATATAATGTCTACCTTTTTTCATGCAAGTGTACGACATTACCTCCAGAAGAAATCTCTCAAATGAGTGCCTTTCAACTTAACTAACAGACATTAAATGAGCCTGTTCATAAAAAGGAAGTCACAGGGAACAGTTTGAAATGCATTACTTTAGAAAGTTTACAAGTGTCTAGAACAATTCTGCAGCTTTGTAAGTCTTCAAGGTCATGCAAGAGACCTTAAGGCTTAAAAATGTTGGAAGGAACAGCTGCAGTTTTTGAAAACAGTAAAGGCAAACTTGAAGCGTAGTTTTATCAAAGCTTGGCTGTTTTCCTATCACAGGCAGTAGACGCCACTAATCTCTTCCTTTTGTTTAAACAGATGCTGTGTGCTTGGCAAGTAGCTGAATTTTAAATGCAGAAAATTATTATTCAAGGGGAAAAATTTTGACTGGAGGTTAGAAACAGAAGGTTAAGTTCAGGACAAAATCTTGTTTTCTCTGACATCTTCCAAGCTGTGTGAGAAAAGTTTCCCCCCTACACTGGGAACTATAAATTTTGATATTTTTCAATATAAAGAAGGGGTTTTTCTGTTTGGTATTTTTTGTGTTTGCGGTGGGTTTATCTATTTATTTTTATTAATATTTTAAATTTTTTTTTAGTTTCTGGATAATATATAAAGATTGTAATCAAGTAGTATATGGTTGAACCCTTTGGATAGACTTTGTTTTCATGATTGCATTTGATATTAGCGAAAGACTAGAAGGAATAATTCAGAGGATCACAAATTCTCCGTCTCCCTTTGGTGTATCATTATACAGTTCTTTTTTATCAGCACAGCTCATTTTTACTCTAGCTAAATCGGGTAAATGAGCATTCATGACATGGAGGCACAGGATTTTTTGGCCCAATTATTGCCTATAGCAAAGCTCAGCCATTTTCCTCATTTTTTGATGCTGATTGGAAATCTTATGAAGGGTGGCTATCCTTGGGATGGATCTCAGATCGTGTCCACAGCTTTCTTCTACATCATCCAAAACATGTGAGCAGAACAGCAAGGAGTCCTGATGCAATGCAAAGCTTCTGGACATTTCTGTTATGACTTAGGCAAGAAAACGATGTTTTGTATTGCACATGGAGTGATTAATCAGCTCCCAGTAACTGTTAGATAATGTGTCAATAGCTGCTATTTTTGAAATCAGCAGTGACCTGATTTAAATGATGGTTCCACCTAAGCATACCTGTTTTTTTATCAGAACACACAGAACACATGTTGCTGAATATCATTTGGAAATATGGGTCTAATCTGATCTGCTCAGCTCAAGAAAGGGTTAGCTTTCAGGGCTGAGGAATAAAGGTTGTTGCTGGAGCAAGTTTTGCCTCTAGCCCTTCAACTTTTCAGATCCAAACACAACAGATGGTACCTCTTGCAGTACAATATCTCTTTAACATCATGCTGAGGTTTTGGTTCAGTAGGAGCTCTCAGTGCTGATTTCTGCAGTGCTCTATGTTTTTGGTTTTTTTTCCCTTTTATTGAGTGGCTCCCATTTCTGTCAAGACATAACATATCTAGCCAGTTATGGCTGCCAAAATCACTAACAGAAGTGATTCCATAACACTCCCAATTTTAAAGTTGATTTCTTCTTAATACTTTGTTACCAGGGAGCAAAGAAAAAAACCCCAGTTCCCTGTGTTCTCACCTTCATTCCGTATTCTGCTCTGTCCCAAGATGCATTCTCTTCACTCCCTGCGCTCCTCTGCTCCTCCTGTTAAGAACTGATTATTGAGAGATGCCTCTGCCTGAGCTAAGGTACAAATGAGACCATATGCTAAAGTCAATAGTATAGATTTTATCTAGTAATAAAATGTGAGGTAGAGAGAAAGAAATAGAAAAGAGAGGAAAGAGAGAGAAAAAGGGAAAGAGACAGAATGCATAAGGCAGTCACCACCTGTGGCTCCAGGAGTGTCCCATTGACCCTTCTTTACCCTTGGCTGCTTGGTGGTGGAGGTCCCCAGATTGTTCCAAACTTTGATTTATTTATATATTTTAGCAAACAAAGGAATTCATGCTTTTTGGCCACACAGTTCTTTTATGCTTTTGGTTAAATGATTCTCTGTCCTCTAAGGCTAATTAGTCTGCCTGCTTAGTCTTTCTCTGGAGTCAGTGGGTTGTGAATTGGTGGTTGTAATCTCCCATTGCCAAAATTGCCTTTTACTCAGTCCAAGCTGATTTCAGCACCATTGCTGAATTGGCTTTCCTTGTTGCTGCATTCTTTATATCCATTAACAGTGATATATTCTTCTCCCCCAGCGTTTTTAACCTTCCCCTAGACCTGAGATAACATTCAGACAATAGCATCACCTTTATCTAATCTCAAGTTTCTGTCATGGTGTCTTAATTTACAGTCCAAGTTCCAGGTATCCAGAGGCATATTCAGGGCTTGGGTTTTAGTGGTAGTTTCTGGGTACATGTGCCATCTGTCCCATAATTTGGGGTGATCTTTGTTTCACTATTGATATGTGTATGAGCAGTTGCTTCTATATGCAGTTTGCCACAGTGGGATTTTTTGTCTGGATGCAGTACTCAGGATGTGATAGCCAGATCTGGCTTCTGCCAGGCTTGGAGTTGGCACCCTCCTGTTGCTCCATTCTGTGCCTATCTCACGGCACAGTCCTTCTGTGGCCTTAACAGTGTTTGAGACAGCTGACTTTGATCTTTAAGTCTTTACACCTCCCACAGGTAGAGAGCTGCTCACACAATTCAAAAACAGAGATATTTGTGATGATGTTGGCAGCAGAAAGGTGGTGCATTTTAATTCTTGAATTTGTTCTTGCTGTGCAGGTATTTCATCCCTGGCACAATTCCACCTGTACAGCAGAATGTTAATTTTTCCTTGACTGACTCTTCTTTGGCCAAGGCTGTAAACAGTTTAAAAAACAACAACAGAGGAATGGATCTCTTGTTGCTCTGCTTCTGACATTTCTGTCACATACTGAGGGATAGCAGCATGAGGGTGAGATGGGAGAGATGTAACACTTTTGAAATGATTTGTCTATTGTTACTGGAGATAATTTTTTAGAATTGTTTTGCTACTCCTATGTTCCATTTATTGGGCTCTTCCTCAGGTTTCCAATGCTGGCTGTTGGATTGTTCAATTTTAGGAATGGAGGTCTTTCACCTCAATTTTTTTTGAATGTTAATTGTTAATGATATTGTACTTAAATGCAAGTGCTTAGTTTTTTCCTTTTGTAAAACAAATGTGAAGAGTAGTTTGTAGGAAAATAAAAGTGAGACTCAGACTTTTTTTTTTCCCCAGTTATCCTTACTTTTTGGTACCATACATTATGAAAAGGAGCCAAAAGAAGATTTTTTTCATGTATTCTGCCTTCCCAAGGTTTATCAGATAATGCGCTCAGCGTAGTCCTTAGATAAAAATCCTTGGAGTTCATTTCCTTTTGTCTATCTCCAAGGACAGGTTGTCATTTATGACTTCTGTATCTCCTGCTGTTTACTGATAAATTCTTTTTGTGGTGTGTTCTCACAGCGAGCATCAGAGGTACTACTCTAAAACAAAATTGCATAAATATTTCTGTTTGTCAGCTTATGAATTCACCTGAAGTGAAACTCAGCAACAGGAGACATCCTTCTCAATGTTCCTTTATTTCCTATATTTTTGAGTTTTAATATGCTGCAGTAATTTTTCTTATGTTGTAATACCTTAAGCTCCAATTTAACAGGAATTAACAAGGAAGGAGAGGATTTATGAATTTACCTTCACCCAGCAAAGGTTGGGGTTGCCTTGGGGAAGAACAGCTATTGATAAAGCTATGTTTCTAATAAAATATCTCGTGAAATAAAAACCTGCTTTAGGTCACTGAGGATGGCTCTTGATACTGCTCTGATTTGCCCTGTAACCTGTCTCTGATAGCGCTGTGACTTTAGACAGCCCTCCAGGATATGACTCTGATTTATGGATCCTCGCATTGCTGTGAGCTTTGGTCTCCAGTTGGGCTTTCCTTGCCCGGATTGAATTTTCCACGGTTAATTCCTGAGCATTACCAGGCTGCTAGGGGTTTTTTGGTAGATTGTTTGTTTCTAACAGCTGTAAGTAAATTTGCTGTCCCTGTTTTTAATTTAGCCCTTGATACTGGTTTACTTACATTGCCTTGGTAGTAGTTTCCTTAAATATCTGACCAGTCTGTCAAGGGGTCCACATTAATCCTTTAATGACTGTGTGGGTTGCTATAATTTCACTGGTATCTTTTCCTTTTTGAGTGATCATATCCCCTTTCAGTCTGTGCTCCCTGCAAAAACCTATTCTAAAAACCTCTATAGAGTACAAATAAAATAGATGGTATTATGTAATATTATAAAGTAATAACATCTTATTGCATATAATTAAATAATAATAAAATAATAAATAAATAATAATAAACATAATAAAATAAGGTTATATAAAAATTATGGAAAGAAAATTAAGAATATCTAAGATCTGATTTTTGCTTTAGATTTTGTGTCAAAGGCACTCATGGATTATTTGCTTGTGGTTACATTACGCCTCAGGAGTTTTTGTCCTAAGGTTCAGTTTCTCTCTGAACTGCATGCTAGAGATCCTTCTCAGCTATTGCAGTCTCCTAGAAAAAATTAAGTCTCCAAATTCCTGAAAAGCTCTCCAATGTGGATTTAAGGACAGTACTGTCATTTTTCAAACATATGTAGATGGATACCACTGGTGTACTCCAGTCCTTAAGCTTTGGGGTTTACCTCTCCCACAGGTTGCAGTTCTCTGATGTTTTGGGATGTGTCTCTGCCTTGGACCTCCTTCACAGAACAGGATTGTTGCACTTGGGTTGAGTTCTTCCAATAAGAGACAGGAGGCTGTAGGACCTGGATAAGGATGACATAAAGGTAATAAATACTTGTAGCCTTGGAAAGTGGAGGTATAGATCTGCAGGTTTTGATGGATTTAGTCTGACAATTCA